GCCATCGTGAGACCATTTTGGGCCGCTATGAGACGCTGTTGGCGTCTGGCCGTAGGGCATGCTACTTATTTGTGGACCCATTGGGCCACTCCTGGACGGTTCCAGAGACTCCCAGGCCCGCGCTCAAGAGGTCTTGCATCTCTGACGGGGACTTGCCATGAGTTGCCTGGGGTACTTTCCGCTCTGTGACCCCCAGGGGCCGCCACGCGCGCGCTAATTAGAATGTTGTTATTTGTAACCTCCTTATTTTTATTTCCGCATGCTCCTTGCCCACCCCTCGTCCGTTCACATGCTTCGAGGGCCACGATGCGCTCTGACCCCTCCTCCCTAGCACTCCTCTTCGGTGCACCGGACAGTTCCGAGTCTTACGTTGCTTCATGACGTGACTCCCAGAGGTCTGAAAGAGCGTGTTCTACCGCTGCTGGCGGAAAACCGGGGGGGGTCACTTCCGGTTCATCATGAAAAGGGGGGGTGGGTCATTACCGGTTCGAACCCCCCCCCCCCCCTCGAAAACCGAGTGGGGGTGCGGACAGTGGTGGGGACGGTGTTGGTGGGGACAGTGGTGAGGGGACAGCGGGACAGTGGTGGAAACAGTGGGACAGTGGGACTGTGGTGGGGACGGTAGTGGCGGGGACAGTGGTGGGGACAATGGTGGGAACAGGGGGGACAGTGGACAGTGGTGGGGACGGTGGTGGTGGGGACAGTGGTGTGGGCACAGTGGGAATGAGGTGGAAACAGTGGGACAGTGGAGGGTACAATGGTGGTGGGGACAGTGGTGAAGGCGGTGGCGAGGACGGCGGTGGGACAATGGGACAGAGGTACAGTGGGGACAGTGGTGGGGACAGTGGGGACAGTGGTGGGAACAGTGGGACAGCTCAGTGGGACAGCGGAGGAGTCAGTGGGACAGTGGGGACAGTGGGGATAGTCGGGCAGTGGTTGGGGCCGTGGAGACAGTGGGGAGAGTGGAACCGTGGTGGGAACAGTGGTGGGGACAGTGGGGACAGTGCGACAGTGGTGGGGGCACTGGTGGGGACACAGTGGGGACAGTGGTGGTGAGGACAGTGGTGCTGGGAACAACAGTGGGGGATGTGATGCGGACGGTGGTAGGGACCGGGAGTCGTTTGCTGGCGGTGAGTGGGGGGGGTGGGGAGGGGTTCGAACCGGTAGTGATCCCCCTCCGGTTTTCGAGGGGGGGGGGGGTTCGAACCGGTAGTGACCCCCCCGGTTTTCCGGATCTGGAGGGGGGGGGGAGGGGTTCGAACTGGTAGTGACCCCCCCCGGTTTTCATAGGGGGAGGGAGGGGGTGGGGGGGGTTAGGGGAGAGGGGGTTTTGCCGGGTGAGGGGGGGGGGGGGGTCCCAGCCAGGAGGGGGGGGGATTTTCGGAGGGGGGGGGGGGGGCGACCCTCGGGTTCCGGAGGAAAAGGTTGGCAATCTTCCACAGTAAAGCGGCTGTGGATCACGCTCTCCCAGAGGTCTGGACCCCTTCCCCGGGATCGGCTTTTCATTCGGAGTTGTTTATTGACGGTCTCGGGGCCCGGCGAGGGCTCCCGAGACCGGCTCCTCCTCCCGCTTTCTCCGCCTCCCGCACCGAAAAAGGGAGCGGGTGGGTCCTGCAGGGAGAGGGGCGCCTGGCAGGGTCCATGTCGATCCGATTCGAGGTTCTAGGTGTTCGAGGCTCTCTAGGAGGGCTTCTTGAGGCTCTCGCGGGGCTTCTTGGCGGCGTCATGGGCCGTCTGGGGGCCATCTTGGGCGTCTTGGGAAGATCTTGCGGGTCGGCAAGCTAGGAAGTTCAAGGCGAGTTCCCCCGATGGGGCCCCTAGGGCTGTCTTGGGCTGTCCAGGGGGCCTCGTGGGCCGTCTTGGAGCCCACTTGGGCCGTGTTGGGCCCATGTCGGGAGTCTGTTGGGCCGTCTTGGGGCGATCTTGAAGGTCTCCTAGGCAGTGTTGGACGCGCTGGACTTCGAAACGTCGTATAGGCGCAGAATGTACGTTTTCTGAAGGGAATGGGACACCTTTTGCTTGTTGAGGCTGTCTAGGAGGGCCTCTTGAGGCTCTCTTGGGGGCTTCTTGGCAGCGTCCTGGGCTGTCTGGAGGCCATCTTGGGCGTCTTGGTACGATCGTGCGGGTCGGCAAGCTAGGAAGTTCAATCCGTGCTCCCCCGATGGGGCTCCTCTTAGGGCTGTCTTGGGCTGTCCAGAGGGCCTCGTGGGCCGTCTTGGGGCCCTCTTGGGCCCATGTCGGGAGTCTGTTGGGCCGTCTTGGGGCGATCTTGAAGGTCTCCTGGGCAGTGTTGGACGCGTTGGACCTCGAATCGTCGCATAGGCGCAAAATGTGCGTTTTCTGTTGGAAAGTGGACACTTTGTGCTTGTTGAGGCTCTCTAGGAGAACCTCTGCCGTCTGGCGGCCATCTTGGGCGTCTTGGTACGATCGTGCGGGTCGGCAAGCTGGAAAGTTCAATCCGTGCTCCCCCGATGGGGCCCCTCGTAGGGCTGTCTAGGGCTGTCCAGGGGGCCTCGTTTGCCGTCTTGGGGCCCTCTTGGGCCGTGTTGGGCCCATCTTGGGAGTTTTGGGCCGTCTTGGGGCGATTTTGAAGGTCAACTTGGGCAGCGTTGGACGCGCTGGATCTCGAAACGTCGCTTATGCGCAAATTGTATTTTTTCCGACGGGAATTGGACACTTTTGTTTGTCGAGGCTCTCTTGGATAGCCTCTTGAGGCTCTCTTGGGGCTTCGGCGTCTTGGGCCGTCTGGCGGCGACCGAGGGCCCCTCGGACCGTCTCGAGCACGTCACGGGGCTCTCTTGGAGCGTTCCTGGGGCGCTCGGGAAAGCCTGGAAGGCAGCGCCGAGGAGGAAAACCATCTCTGGGTCTCCCCTGGCCAGGACCTGCCCGGGTATTTTTCGTTCGGGGGCCCCCAAGGGCCGCACCACACGGGCGAACCAGAAAATTGTAAACCAGTTACCGGAGTTCTTAGCACGCCTCTGGCCCGTTGTGCCGGCGAATTAGTGCGATTTTTGCTCACGCGGGGCCGTCTGCAGACTGTCCTGGCGGTCTGCTCTGCCGTCCGTGGCCTGTGTGAATTGTCTGTGGAGCCGCATGGAGGCGATCCCGAAACGGTAGGATACACTCTGGCGATGCGAACCCGGCTGGAAAGAATTATGGCTTGTACGATTTGATCTGGGAGTCGTCTTGAGTCGTCCTGAGCATATACTGTTGATACCCTAGAGGCGTTTTAGCATGCGTGCGACCTCGCTCAGGGCTACGGGGGCTTCAGAGTAGAAGCCGGCGCCGCAAAGTAGCCCCAGAGCTCGTTCCAGCTCCCAGCAGGACACCTCGCACTGGCTTGCCTGAAGCTGCAGCGTGTTCAGGCAAGCCTTTTTCTAACTGTCTCCCAATACGTGTGCCCGGAAGCTTTCCAGGAACTCCTTCCTAAATTGTTTCTAAGAGTTTCCGGAGGTCCTTCGGAAGGGTATAGGCGTTCTCGGTGGCCACATGTGAACCCAACTCCCGCCCCTTACGATTTCTTAAGGGGAGGGTGGGGGTCCACTTCGTTCGGGAGCTCCCGAGCGGCGTGATCCCCCACCCCCCCTTAGAAATCGGGGGGGCGGGGGTCAGGTTCGCAAGTGGCCACCTAAAAAGTTGGAAGGTCTTTCAGGCGCCCCACTATCTGGGCTTTGGACGCAGCAAGTGATCCAGGTGTCGGAAAAAATTAAGCAACACTCACGCATGACATATGGTGTGAACTCCCCCCCCTCTCCCCGAATGCAATGTTGGGCTCGGGTCTCCCGAGTTCGAGCGTCGGACCAGTGCTGCGTATACGCGCCAACTTTGAAATGCGGAGGAGGGGGGAGTGCTGCTTAACTTTTCCTTCAACCGTCCCACAGGAGTCGCCCTCCTTCCGCGCCGCTCCGCTCTGCCTCCCTGGCGCTGCCGCAGCCCCCCCCTCCCGCGGGGGAGCCGCAGGAGGGCACCGCGCTGAGCAGGCTCGGCCCAGGCGACGTCAACTTCAGCGTCAGGCGGCCTACCGAGCCCAAGGGTGGAAGGACAAGGAAGGAATGAAGGAAGGAAGGAAGGGTGTGGGAGGAAGAGGTGGGGGTGAGGAGAAGGAGGAGGAGGAGGAGGAGGAGGAGGAGGAATAGGAGGAGGAGGAGGAAGAGGAGGAGGAGGAGAATAAAAATATGAAGAATAACAAGAGGAGGAGGAGGAGGAGGAAGAGGAGGAAGAGCAGGAGGCGAAGCAAGGACAAACAATCAGGAGGAGGAGGAGCAGGAGGAGGAGGAGGAGGAGGAGATGGAGGAAGGAGGAGGAGGAAGAGGAGGAGGAGGAGGAGGAGGAGGAGGAGAGGGTCGAAAAGAGGGGGATGTTGGTGATGGTGGTGGTGATGAGGAGGATGATGCTGAGTACGTATGATGATAGTGATGGCAATGGTAATCATGATGGCGATGGTGATGGTGATGGTGATGGTGGTGGTGATGATTCTGCTGCTGATGATGCTGATGGTGATGATGGTGATGATGCTGATTATGATGATGATGCTGCTGATGATGATGTGATGCTGAGCATGGTGATGCTGCTGATGATACAGATGATGTTAATGACGCCGATGATCATGATGATCTTGATACTCATGATGGTGCTGATGATGATGCAATTGTTGATGATGATGGGTATGGTGATGTTGATTCGAATGGTGATGATGAGGATTTTGATGATCATCATGATGGTGCTGAAGAAGAATACGAGGATGGGATTATGATGGCCAGACGTTGCCTGCAGCAGAGCGCATCCATATTTCCACAGCCCGCGACGCCTGCCCGAGGAGATCGGGGAAACCTGATCTCCCAAAACGGTCGACGTCTGGTACTCCACCACTGCCCAGGGCCAAGACTCAACATGGCCAGCGGCAGGCGGCGACATCGCTGGGATGAGCAGAGGGACGGTGGGCCATCCCTCCACTTTGGGCGCTGCCTGGACAGGTGCCGGATAATCGTGTACAGTGGCGAGTTCGAGAAACTCGATGTGAAAATGGCCACAGCATTCAGCAACACCCTCTGACCTCAGAAGGAGAGTGAACACACGGAAGGAAGAAGCTAAGACCAACGGCCGGCTCGTCAAAGGACCACAAGTCTTTCTCATGCTCTTGGACAGGTACAGGCTGGTAGAAGCAGACGGTTGCATCTTTGACTTCGCCCACCTCAATGGTGTCAAAATGAAGGGTGGCAGCCCCAACAAGTTCGTTGAGGATTGGGATTGCACTCTCCTGGACATGAAGTCCATACCTGAGTTGCGTATCCTTGAATCCATGTTCACAACATAAATAGAACATAATCGTGACCTTGAGTATAAGACAGGGGCATATCACAGGGCGGAAAGCGGCGGCCCAAACAAACGTTTCGAATGGTTTTGCGACAATTGCACCATATTCCTTGAGAGCCGCGTTCAAACAGCACGCAAGGAACTGGCGTTCGCGGATATGGGCCGCTCAGCCATGTCGGTAAGTAAAGGAGTGCGCAGCGGTTGGGTTCAGAAAGGCGCGCGCACATCACAGGACTGCCCGTGGTATCAGCCAGGGCACTTACAGAAGAAGTCTACTGGACCGACTAAGAGGTCGTGCGCTCGCAAGTTCTTCGAAGACTTTACCTTAACAGGCGAGTGGTCCAAACCACTGTGCGATGAAAGGGGCAGGCCGATGTGGTAGCGCCGCCAGGACGTGGGTTGCAGGCATTAAGATGCATGCGCCTTTGCACATGTGGGCAACAGCGGAGACCAGGGCGCAAAGCACCACAAGAGGGTGACTCCCCCGAGCGCTCGCCCTCAGGAAGCCGCTCTAGCCCTGGGGACGAAGCACCTCGCAGCCCGCCTCAGCCCTCGTGCGGGTAGAAGCAGCACACTGCAAGGCCGAAACGAAGCGCGCGGGGAAGCATTTTCCCGAGAGGATCGGGCAAGCCTGTTCGAGACCATGGAGGCAGGACGCCTCCGCCGAAGCCGTCTCTCGGTCGCGAGCGGTCGGCTTCCAAGGACTCAAGGCGTGGGCGCTCGAACAGGGCTGCGGCAGCGTGTGCGCCTAGGCGGCCAAAGCTACCGCCTTTGCGGTCACCGTTCGCTATCCCACGCCGCCCTCCTTCCGGCGGGAAGGAGGGGCGCGGAGCGCGGGGGGAGGGGAAGCAGGCGCGCGTGCTTTCGCGGCGGGGGAACCTGGCGCAAAGCGCTCGCCGAGGTCTGCCTCCGCGGCGGCGGGGAAACCTGACGCGAATCGCTCGCCGAGGGCGCTGAAGTAACTGCGGCGCGGAAGCCCGACGCTATGGCGACTCAGTCTGGTCGTAACATGCCGCGATGTTCGTGCCGCGCTGCACCCGTGGCGATACCTGGTGTCTTCATGGCGCGGTAGAGGTCTTGTTAGGATGATCGCCTGGGCCGAAGGCTCTACTAGATGTGATCTTGCGAGACTCGCGGTAAGTCACAGTAGTGCAGCGCTTGGCCTTATACTTTGTCGTGCTGCTGACAGCCCTTTCCACTGATTTCCAAGAGCCACAGACTTGGCAAACACGTGGCTTGCATGGGCCTCCGATTCAGGATCGAGACCCCGGCGGCCTACGCCAGGCACTCCCGCGCCCGCTCCTGAAGAGGTGTCGCCCGCGGGGCCCTGGAGCCAACGCCAGAGCAATCACCGGAGGCAGGCATTCCTGGCCCTCAGGCCTCCCACGACGGCATTTCGGCGTCGGGGAAACCTGATGCGGCGAGGCTGGTTTTGCACATCTTAAGCTCCTTGGCTTCGCTCTTGGACTTCTTCTCTCGGTGTCGCATGTTTCCTCTTGGTTCTCTCTGTCGTCTCATTGTTTCGCGTCTCTCGTCACTCTTTTTTGTTGGGTTGGATTCGCCTTGAACTGCGGTTTTTGTCCGTCCCTGTTTTGGGCCGTGGACTTCGTCGTCTTTCGTTGCATTTTTTTTCCGGGGAGATGCTGTTCGCGCGCCCGCTGCAGCTATACATGTGCCGGTGGGGCGACGTCCGTCGAAGTCGTGCTTCCACTGGTCGAAGTCGTGCTTCCACTGGTGAAGTTCGTGTAGTTGGAGTACTTCGAGCCGCCTTCGGGCGTAGCCGCCCCTCCTCTTTCATGAGGAGGGGCCATGCGGAGGGGCGTCTGCCTTGGCTCTCTCGCTCTCCCGAAACATCGCGGCCGTTTTCGTTTGTTGGTCCTGCGTGTTGTTTCCCCCTGTCCTTTCTTAGGTGGGCTCGGGGGGGTGAACTTGACCGAGGAGCCCCTGGTTTCCGTTCATTGTTGGCGCATGTTTGTTTTGCTAATGTCCACGTCTGGGTTTCTGGGGATCGCGGGCCCGTCTGGCCCCCCCCGTCCTCCTCCGCCCGCGGCATTTTGTGGCTCGGGCGATAGGCCAAAAGGGCGGTGCCCCTGAGTCGTCGTCGAGTAGCATTGCGAAAGGTTCCTGTTTCTGTACATTCGCGACGCACGGCAGGGCGCGAACTTGAAAAACTGACGGGAACCCCGCCGCCTTCACAGGCGAGCCGGGGCCCTCGTCTGGTAAGGTTTTGAACCGGTAGGGAGGTTTGGCCCATCGGCGATACCATGCCCCAAACACGCCAGCGAATATTTTGAGATTTTGGAGTTGCTGTTGAAAGCTTTGTTCCCAACAAACCTGTGGTGCTGGGTCCTTGTTTCGAAGAGACAGTCCCCGCGTTCCTCCTCCTCCTCCTCCTCCTCCTCCTCCTCCTCCTCCTCCTCCCCCTCCTCTCTCCTCCCACCCGCGCAGCCCAGGGACAGCGTTTCGTGGCCCCGTAGGGAGCTCCAAGGAAGGTCCCAGTGGCGCAGCCCGCATGCATATCCCACTCACAGTCCAACGCTTCGTCGCCCCATACGGAGCTCCACCGAAGGTCCCAGTGGCGCAGCTCGCATGCGTCTCCAACACCGAGTACAGCGTTTCGTGGCCCCGTGGGAAGGTCCCAGTGGCGCAGCCCGCATGCGTCTCCCACACCCAGCACAGCGTTCCGTGGCCCCATACGGAGCTCCACCGAAGGTCCCCGTGGCGCAGCCCGCATGCGTCTCCCGCACCCCCTACAGCGCTTCGTCGCCCCATAGGGAGCTCCACAGAAGGTCCCAGTGACGCAGCCCGCGAGCGTTTCCCCCACCCAATACAACGTTTCGTGGCCCCACAGGGAGCTCCACCTGAAGTCCGAGTGTCGCAGCCCGCATGCGTCTCCCACACTCAGCACAGCGTTTCGTGGCCCCGTGGGGGGCTCCACCTGAGGTCCCAGATGCGCAGCCCGCAAGCGTCTCCCCCACCCAGTACAGGCGTTTCGTGGCCCCACAGGGGGCCCCACTTGGAGTCCCAGTGGCGCAGCCCGCATGCGCTTCCCCCACCCAGTAGAGCGTTTCGTGGCCCCATAAAGGTGGCTCCATCGAAGGTCCCACTCTCGCAGCCCGCATGCGCTTCCCACACCCAATAGAGCGCTTCGTGGCCCTGTAGGGAGCTCCACCGAAGGTTCCAGTGGCGCAGCCCGCATGCGCTCCCCCCACCCACTACAGTGTATCGTGGCTCCACAGGGGGCTCCACCGAAGGTCCCACTGGCGCAGCCCGCATGCGTCTCCCACGCCCAGTGCAGCGCTTCGTGGCCTCATGGGAGCTCCACCGAAGGTCCCAGTGTCGCAGCCCGCATGCGTCTCCCGCACCCCGTACAGCGCTTCGTCGCCCCATAGGGAGCATCACCGACGGTCCCAGGGGCGCAGCCCGCATGCGCTTCCCACACCCAGTATAGCGTTTTGTGGCCCCATAGGGAGCCCTACCAAAGGTCCCATTGTCGCAGCCCGCACGCGTCTCCCCCGCCCGGTACAGCCCTTCGTGGCCTTGTGAGTGGGGCACCACCGAAGACGATACCTACAACTGCGGTGTTCACAGTTGCATATGGTTGGGTCCTTCGCCAGGCCAATTTCTTTTCTAGGGCGCGAATCTGGGGTAACTTGCTGGGGGTCGCGGCCTCGGGGGCGCGAGCCTGGCGTGATTTGAGGGGGATCGTGTCCTGGGGAGCGCGAGCCTGGAGCAATCTGCAACAGGATTCTGGCCTCGGAGGCGCGACCCTGCTGTAGTTTACTATGTATTCTGGCCTGGAGACGCGAATCTAAGGCAATGTGCAAGGGATTCTGGATACGTGCGCGCGAATTTGGTGTGATTTGCGACGGGTTATGGCGTCGGGAGCGTGCACCTGGTGCAATTTACCAAGGATTCCGGCCTCGGAGGAGCGAACCTGGTGTAATTTACAGAAAGGCGCTGGCATCGGGAGCGCGAATCTGGTGCAATTGGTGAAATTTATGAATGGATTCTGGCCTCGGGGGCGCGAACCAAGTGCAATTCACAAAGGAATCTGGCCGCGGGTGCGAAAATCGAGTATAATTTGCAAATCGATTTCAGTTCTAGGAGCGCGAATCTGGTGCAGTTTACCGAGAATATGGTTTTGGGGACGCGAATCTCGCGTATTTTCACGTGTCCCAGGGCCACGGGGCATTCAGAAAACCTTGGCGGGGGGGTAGATGGTTCCTTTTCACCCCCTTCTGCGCGGACCGGTAACCATTTCTAGCAGGAAACAGGATGTATACCTATAAGACCACCCTTCGGGTGATGAGGAGGTTGGGAGGGGGGAGAGGGGGGGGAACCAACATCTGACTCAATCGATCTCTCTATCGATCTCACTCAACGGGACACCACGGGACACCATGGGACAACACGGGACATTTGTCGATCTCACTATCGATCTCACTCAACGGGACACCACGGGCCACCACGGGACACCACGAGACACCGCGGGACACCTCTCGATCTCACTATCGGTCTCACTATCGATCTCACTATCGATCTCACTCAACAGGCCACCACGGGACACCTGTCGATCCCACTATCGATCTCACCATCGATCTCCCTCAACGGGACACCACGGGACACCACGGGACACTTCGGGGCACCAAATCGATCTCAGTATCGATCTCAGTATTGATCTCACTATCGATCTCACTCAACGGGACACCGCGGGCCACCACAAGACACAGCGGGACACCGGCGGGACACTGCGCGCCACCGGCCGCTGGAGGAGAATCATTTGGTCCGGCCGCGGCCCAGCCACAGGAGGATTTCGGGACACCCGCGGGACACCGGCGGGACACCGCGGGGCACTGGCCGCCAGAGGAGTTACATTTGGTCCGGCCGCGGCCCAGCCACAGGAGGATTTCGGGACACCGGCGGGACACCGGCGCGACACCGCGGGGCACCAGCCGCCGGAGAAGTTACATTTGGTCTGGCCGCGGCCCAGCCACAGGAGGACTTCCTCTCGCCCGCCCACACGGCCTCGCCTCGCCCGCACGCGCGCACGGCACGCACGACACGAACCCGAAACCGAAATCGATTTCCCGGTAGGGGAGTCTCCGTTTCACGTCGGACTCACCCCCAACCTCCGAATTATGACATTAGAAACCAGAAACTGGAAACTGCACTGGACTGGGACCGAGGAGCTCAGGACTGGCACTTACGTTGCTGGCACCTACCTGGTGGGCCCACACTGGGGCTGGCGGATTATTAAAAAGTGGTGATCGACGCTCTGTAAGGGCGGTGTGGAAAGCGACTTGGCATTTTTGGCGAGGAAAGCCCCAGCGGAATCGTCACTCTCAGCTGGCATGGGAAGCAATCGACAAGTTGTTGCTGAGATATCCCGAGCGAGTTCGCCGCTTTCTGATGACATGGTAAAGTTTCTGATCGCCCTGGAAGGCGATCAGAAACTTTGTTCTTTGGTCTGATGGTCCCGTTGGTGGGGGTTTTCTGGTGACGGTAGTCACAGACCAGCTTGGGACACCTTCTGGTGATCACGTGCATGGCGACGATGGAAACGAATGCTCCCGCCGAGCGCTCGCAGGAATGATGAAGTTCACCAACGGTGAATTTTGCTGGGGATGTGATACGGTGGAGGCGTTTGCTAAGGAATAGTCCCAGGAGACGCCAGACCCTGGAGGATTCCTTATCCAAGGAGGGCGGCGGCGATATACATTGCCGATCCACGATTTGAGTTCCACCGGCTTCCAGACCCTGGATTCCTTATTTACGGGTTCCTCATCCAATGCCCACATCGTGGGCCTCCGCTTTTGCGGCCTCTAACATCGATTTCCGCATAGATTTCCATTGGGATGCTCAGTGTGGGCCGGGTCCGACTTGCAGGCGTTCGCGGCTTCGGGCCCCTCCCTGCCGGGCCACCGCCCGCTCGTTCGCTGCCCATTGCGCCGCCCCCCCAGGTGCAATGCCGACGGATCCTTCGGCGGCGCCCGGGAGTGCGTCCGCATCAGCCGCGGCCTCGTCTTGCGAGGGTAGCGGGGAGGGGGCTGTCGGCGGCGGGCCGAGAGCTCAGGGGCTCCGCGGCCCCCAGCGGAGCACGACGTGGCAGGTCCAGGAGTCGCTTGTGGTGCTGCGAGGGGGAGCGGGAGCCGCTTGGCGTGTCGTGTGGATGCCTTGTACGTGGGGTGAGCGACGCCGCTCTTCCGACGAGTGGGCACGACACCATTCTGCAAGCCAGCACAGCTGCGACACGGCCACGCACGGGAGGCGTAAAGCACGACGACCGCCTCCGAAAAGTGTATCCCCCAGCTGGACGCGCCGCCTCCTCGGGGCTGGGGGGGGGGGGTAGAGCGTGCGTGTCGTGCCGTGCGGCACGCGCCTGAGGCTGTGGGCCCGCTCCCAACGTCACCGAAGCGCTCGTCGCGGGCCACGAGGTGTTCTCGGGCGACGCTGCCGAGTACGTGTGCGAGGAGGGATACACGGTCAGTGGCTCGCTGGCCGGTGAGCGCTCGAGCAGCGTTTCTTCGGCTGCCCTTCTTCGGCTACACGTAAGAGCGACCCTTCGCCGGAGTGACCTTTGATGCCGGCTCACTGGGGCCCCCCCGATCGCAGAGCGCGATGCGAAGGTGGCTGCATGCGCGCTTAGATTTGGCCACACTGCGCCCCGCTATCCACGCACCAGAAGTCACTCCTGCCTAGGGTCACTCTTGCGTGTAGGCGGCTTCAATGCTGCTTGTCTCGCACGGCGCCTCACGTGGGCGCTGGCCTCGGACGGGGAGCAGCTGGTCAAAGGGAGGGTTCTGGAGGTCTCGTGGGCGGCACCTCGTGAACGGCACCGTTGTCGCGGGGCGTTTGCCTGCCGGCGTCACAGGGAAAGCGGCGTGAAATCGTGGGGCCCGTTCTTTTTCGGATTCCTCAGCGTGTGCTTCCTGCGTGTGCCTTCCATAGTCACGCTCGGCCTTTCCATTGGCTGCAAAGGTTAGCGCAGCAGGTTGCTTTTCCAGACACCGTTGGTTCAGAGTTTCGATCGTTCGCGGGCACGCGCCTCCTTACATTGTGCTTGCATGCTGGCTCGAGCGCAGAATGCCTACACTGATGGATCAATCGTTCATTCGTGGTGTCAGGGTGATAGTTCCGCGGTTTGAAAATGAGAGCATGTTGACGAGGCTGAAATTTGTTGGCATGTTTAGAGGTTGGCAGGAGAACATGGATATGTTTACAGAGCGAGCGCTGTGTCCCGCAAACTTGCTGGGTTGTAGAGTTCGCTGCCTGGCACGCGAGGGAAATCGTCGGGAAGTTCACGATTTCATTTTCAGTGCGCAGTCGGACGGTGACTGTGGTGGGCAAGACCAGCAGCGATCGGGACTCCAAGCACGCAGGGAGGGTGCGGAGGATGAGCACTGCACCACCATGTTTAGAACGTCTATGCCCGCTGAGGGCCGGTGGGCTGTCACAGGCGCAGGGAGTGCGAGCGCCGTGCTCCCCAGAGGTGACCGCACTTTCCATGCCGAGTGCATGCCGAACGGCTCGTTCTCCAAGCCGGTTGGCTGCAAGCCCGTCCAGTGCCAGAGCCCGCCTCTCCTCATCAACGCGAACTTGATTCCCGAGTCCTTCGGAAGGACAAAGCGATCTGGGGTGGACAGCATCGCTTTTGGGGGATGGCCGGCTCGAAACATTGTCTTTGCACCGACCGGGAAAACACATACAAGTTTCAGGAACTCATGATTTTGGACAGGATGGAGGAGAGGGTGGGGAGGGGGGCATTCCCCATGAAACCCAGTTGCACATGGAGAGCGCCTTGATAATCAGGCAATCTTTCCACTTGCGTAACGATTTAAACAATAATGGCAGGCAGTCTGTATGGATGGATGGGCAGATCCTCAAGAAGTGCTGCTGGATAACAACGGGCTAACGAGAACGAGGGATGACGGATGGTGGAAGTGATGAACATTGACAGTGACAGATGAATTGCGATGGCGGCTGTTTCAACTCCTTTGGAGCTGACAGCGCAACACATCACTCCCAGACATCGGGCCGGATTCCAGAGCCAGAGATCATCCGACGCCGTTTTTCCCATAACCCCCTCCTCGTCCTGCACGCTTTTCCTGGCTTCTCCTCCGTCCTGGGGGGTCCGCAGACGGGGGGGATGACGAGGAGGGAGGAGGCTACTCCGAGTTTCTTGATAAGCGTCGTGGGGGGGGCGTCACCCCCGCGGACACCCCCACATCGACCCCCGTCGCGGGCAGCCACCGCGTGCCGAAGGCGCTCCGACCCCCGTCGCGGCGCGACGACGAGGCGAGGTTCCGCCAGGGGGGTACCCCCCACGCTTATGAAGAAACCCAGAGTATGCCGAAGAGGCGAGGAGGTTTTCTGTCCACTGGCCCCGCCACCTCAGCCAGCCAGCACCGAGCTGGCCAGGAGAGAGCCTTGAGCCACGACGGGGCCAGCGCCGTGTACGGAGGCGCCGCGTCGCAGGCCGCCGCAGGAGGCGGGGCTCCGCCACGGCTTCATTGACGGCCGAGGCGGCACGGCTCGAATGAGCACGGCCCCGGCCCGGGGCCGAGGCACGGGCCTCGGAGAAGACATCGAGCACGACCGCCACCACCAGGGCTGGCCCCGGGAGCGCATGCACGCCACCCGAAGGGCCTTTGCATGTACCAGAACTGCCACCCGACGGGCCGGTTCCGGCAGCAGCCGCTGCAGAGGTAGCGGTGCTCCGCTCTGCGTTCGCGCTGCCAACGCATGGAAAGGCGGGCACGGGATAAACTCCTTTGCGTCGTCCAACAAGCCGTCCATCAGGTCCTCCGTTCTCGATGTCTTCTGCTCAGGAAACCTCCCTGCGAACGCGCCAGCGCCTTGACGCCATTTCGCTCGGTCGACAACCGCCACCAATGGCCCTTGGAACCACCTTTGCCGCCTTGAGGTCCCATGCCACATTCATCGGTCAACGCCTCCACCTCCCCCCAGTGTTCAGAGTTGGCGGTGGGTCTTATGAGCTGCACTTTAGCCGCAGTCTCCCCCGCGCGTGCCAACTCTTTGAGTTTGGGGGAGCGGAGGACTGTCCACTAACTGCGTCCCCCTACCGTAAGCCTGTCAGTCGGAGAATTTGCCGTTGGATCGGTCTTGAGGCGCCAGCAAAAGGTCCGTCGTGTTCCTCCAGGCGGATGGCAGCTACAGCACGACGAGGTCTCACCCGCAACGGCAGAGAGCTTGCGGGGGGGTCCGGCTGGCGAGTGTCCTTGGGTTCGACCTGGTGTCCACTCGCCGAGCTGGCCCCGTCCAAGCCGGAGGGCACAAACGACGAAGGACTGGCAGAGACCTCCTCCTCCTCCTCTTCCTCCTCCTCCTCCTCCTCCTCCTCCTCCTGCTGAAGCCACTACAAAATTCCACCTGCCTGCACCGATGCCGGCTGGGGATTCTTCGGTCGCAAACCATGGGGGCGTGGTCTACCCATTATAATTTTGTCTTTGGCGTCGAAAATCGTCGATTAGCGTCTGGGGGTCGATGAGGTAGCGCCGCCTCTCTCTGCCAAAGGAAGCTGCCAAGGGAAGAACAACAGCCAAGGAAGCTGCCGGCGCCAAATCTCAGGGGCTGCGCCAGGCAACGCACCTGAACATACGGCGTCGGGACATGGACAATGAGTTCGAGCCCTGCGGCGCAAGACACCACCCCGGACCCCAAACGTAATATTTAGGGTGCGGCAATGGAGAGGGTGGACCGAAACATTCGAACCCCCAAACCCCCATCCATGCTGAAAGCAACATTGATTTCGAGGGCCGGCGGGTGATGAACATCTCCCTTTCAGTGTGTGCGGGTTCGAATCTTTTGTCCATGCACCAGAGGCCTGTGATCCTGGCACCTGGGCTTAAGGCAACGATGGCATCTCCGGTAGGAGCGAAACCACGACCACTGGTGTCATGGCGGTTAGTGGTGGAACGTTCCCGCCGTTATTCACCGTTCCAGGGGGGTCAATTTCAATCGGACCCCCCGTCATTTCTCCCAAGTGGGGGGTCTGCTTGCGCGCGATTTGTCAGTTGTCGCCTGTCCAACGGGAGGCTAGATATTCAATTGCAGCACTCTGATTTGGAGAGACTAGATATTCGCCACACGCGCCTGGTTGTTACAGAACCCTCTGGGTAGCTGCCCAATGTTTCCGATCAATGCTGACATTGTCTCAGCCAAACGTGTTGTCCAAGCCAATGCGTCTGAGCGGTCGTCATTATGATATGTAGGATGTGCCCCTTTCATGTTTGTTATAGTGATCCTCTCTCCGCCTCCATCCACCGTCTCTATCCTCATGCTTCCTACCTTCTTGGTCCTCCGTCACTCCTCGTTCTTCCTGTACGTGCTCCGCCGGCTGGTGTGACAGCGCGTGTATTATGATTCAAGGTCGCGTTGTCAAGACCTTCCGCACCTTGCATTATGTTGCAATCATGCCTTCTCGAGCACCGCCATCCGCTCGATCATTTTTCTGCAATGTTTTCGAGCCGCCACCTGACCTCATGCATCGTGCCTGATCCATCCTCTGTGACTCCTCGTCGTTTTTATACGTGGTCCGCCAGCTGGTGTGACAGCGCGTGCATTTTGAATCAAGGTTGCGCTGTCAAGACCACTCGCACCTTACATTCCGTTTCACTAATACTTTTCCGAGCACCGCCCTCCGCTCGCTCCGTTTCTGCAAATGTTGTTCGAACCGCCACCTGACCTCATGCATCGTGCCTTATCCGTTCTCTGCACACATACGGTTGAAAGAAACAAGTTTGCACCACCTGGGCGGCACGACAACTGATGATACGACCCCCTCGCCCCCGACCTTAGCATTGAGAGCGGACGCGCACGCTGAAATGGGATGTATCTTTATTCTTTCGAAGGGCCCCAGGAGATGTCACAACTATCAGTATTACAGTCGGGGGCGCGGGGGAGCGGCAGCGCCACCCGATTCGCAGCTCAACCCGGAAGGGTGCAAACATGTCTCTTTCAACGGTAGCGGGGGACTGGGCCAAGGGGGCCCCTGGGCCGGGACCACGACCGCAGATGGGGGGCCGGCGGGGCCGAGCCCGCTCCTGGGGGCCTCGCCCAGATCGGCCCCAGAGCGCTCAGACCGCCGCCAAGGCGACCGAAGCGAGCCCCGAAATCGCTCCCAGCACTGCCTCGGGGGCTCCCAGGCGGCTCGCGCGGCGGCTCCAAATGGGCCGAGGAGGCCGCCGAGACGTCCCCAGGAGCGCGCCTCCAAGAGGACCTCCCTGAGGGCCCCGAGGGGCCAAAGTCGTTTTACTCCCCGTTGGCAAAAAGCGTACACATTGTTCATTTCCAATTCTTCGAAAGTTCTTTGATTTTTTGGGGGCCTAGATCCTTTTATTTCTAATTGCTCTATCCTGGGCCGCTTCCTGGCCACTACGGGGCCAGGACCAATTAGAAACGAGCACAAGTAGGAATGAGCACGATTAGACATGAACGACGTGCATGTGTCTGGCAAGCTGGCTTTTCCGGCCTGCAGACCGCACACGATGACCAGGGAGGCCCCCAGAGAGGTCCGAAGCCGGCACAGGAGGTCCCCAAGAGAGCGGCAGGCCGCCCCGCGAGGGCCCGCAGACGGCCCAAGACGCACCGGGCGGCCCGCAGAGGGCCTCAAGCGAGCTCCAAGGGGGACTGCAGGAGGAGGAGTCCAGCCCCCAGAGCGATCGGAGCGCCGTCAAGGCAATGGAAGAGAGCCCCGACTCGCTCCCAGCACGGCCCCGAAGACTCGGACGGCTCACGAGGCGGCTCCAAAGGTCTGGGAGGCCTCCGAGACGCGAGTCCCGAGGGGCCAGAATCGTTCCACTCCTTAAGCAAGACGAGCCTGTCTGGCACGCCAGGTCTTTCGGCCTGTAGACCGTGCAAGATGACCAGAGAGGCCCCCAACATCGCCCCCAGACGGCACAAGAGGTCCCTCAGAGAGCCCCAAGACGTCCCCAGAAGATGGCCCAAGAAGCATCGGAGACGGCCCAAGAGAGCGAGAGAGCGCCAAGAGAGGCCCAAGAGAAGGACACAGGCCCACGGAGCGATCAGACCGCCGTTCAGGCCACTGAAGGGAGCCCCGAGTCGCTCCCAACACGATTTCCACGACTCTCATACGGCACACGGGGCGGTTCTAACGGTTGAAGAGGCTTCCGAGACGCCCCAACAGTGCTCGAAAAGGACTTCCGTGAGGGCCCCGATGAGCTCAAACCGTTTGATTCTGGAGCAAGACGTACATGTTTGATGTAGTTGCTTTCTTGGACAAGAGACCGTTCAAGATGACCGCAGAGGCCCTCAACATGTCCCGAAGATGGCACAAGAGCTCCCCAAGAGATCGACAAGACGTCCCAAGAAGGCCCGAAGGCGGTCCAAAAAGCACCGGGGACGGCCCAAGAGAGCCTCAAGCGTGCCACAAGCGGGGTCAAGGAGAATGAATCCGAGCTGACATTTCGAGCCCTCCGTCCCAAGATAAGCCCAAAGGCTGCCAACAGGCCCCCTAAAGGCTTTTAAGACGCCCCCAAGATGCGCCAAGAGGCCGCGAGGAGGCCCACAAGAGCCCAAATGGACCCCCTAAGCGGCACCGGAGGCTTTAAAATTGCTTCCAGAACGCCTCCGAGAAGGTGATTCCCGACCGTATCCCGCAGCAGCCCGCCAAGACACTTTCGGGAGCAGGGATGGTCCACCCAAAAGGCCCCAAGAGACCCCAACCCGCCCCAGGAGCCTGCACACGACAGTTCTTGAGGTATGGCCCCGATAGTCCCACACCACGCCGACGGGGAAAGGAGGAGGAGGAGGAGGAGGAGGAGGAGGAGGAGGAGGAGGAGGAAGAGGAGGAGGACGACAAGGGAGGGGAAGGGGCCGTTTCCAGGGTTTGCTGAACTGCTCGGAGGTTGCATTGAACGCCTTTTCCAGCCTTGGGGGCCACGTATTGCCTCATCCCCTACATCTGCCAACCTCTCAACCACTTCATCAGCACCCCCGCCATCGGCCCACCGCCCTCGACACGCCTGGTCCATTGCATCAACGCCTGCACGAGCACCTGATGTGCAACACTCCATTTGCACAATCTGTACGCTTGCACGCCTCCAGCGGTCTAACCCTGCAAGCCTCTGCGTGCCGCATTCCTTCGCAGGAACGCGTGCACTGACAATTGTTGTGACACGCTCCATCCAACGCACCATGATACCTCACCTGCAACAGCTGCACGCTTGCACGTCTCCATCGTCACGTTCTTTCGTTATGCTTCCTTACTCTAGCAACATTTATCACTCCACATTCTTTCATTCCTTCCCCCTGCTCCATCCACTCACACCTCCTCGTTCTTCACCCCTTGATTGCCCCGCCTCCAACTTGACCTCTTCGAACCTCTTATCGTTACAGCCCACGTCGTTGCTTCACGGCATCTGGAGGCTGGTTTCGGGCCCCGAAGGCATCAGAAAACAGTTCGCGGCAAAAAGACAGTCACGAAGCCAGCCGCTATCAAGAACATTGAGCAGACATGGGGATAAGAGGACAGAAGAGTCCTTTTATCACGGGAATAGTTTGTGTTGCCACGTACACGTGTGATATCTAGGACATTGGATGTTTGGAGCCGTGCTCATCCATCCCCGTTCGAAGTTCGAACCTCGACTTTACGCAGACATTTCCTCCAGTATCTTGAAGCACACAAGCCGCATACTGAACCTCAGCGCGCGCGAAGAGCGCGCGTGGTTTTGTACCCAGACCTGTGTATGTATGTATGTATGTATGTATGTATGTATGTATGTATTTATGCATGAATGTATGTATGCATGCATGCATGTATGAATGTATGTATGTATTTATGTATGCATGTATGTATGTAGGTAGGCAGGTATGTATGTATGTATGCATGCATGCATGCATGTACGTATGTATGTATGTATGTATGTATGTATGTATGTATGTATGTATGCATGTACGCATGCATGCATGCATGCATGCATGTATGTAGGTAGGCAGGTATGTATGTATGTATGTATGTATGTATGTATGTATGCATACATGCATGCATGCATGCATGCATGCATGCATGCATGCATGCATGCATGTGTGTAAGTATGTATGTATGTATGTATGTATGCATGCATGCATGCATGCATGCATGCATGCATGTATGTATGTATGTATGTATGTATGCATGTATGTATGACTATTTATACATCCATACATCTACAACCATATAGAGAGAGGGAGAAACAGAAGAGAGAGCGAGAGAGATAATGTGATAATGAGAGAGAGGGAGCAAGAGAGAGGGCCAGAGAGAGAGAGAGGGAAAGAGGGATATGGAGATGGGGCGAGAGAGGGAAATGAGCGTGGGAGTTGCAGGAGATGGTGAGATGAAGCGCAATCCACTTTGCGCCGCAACAGTTGATGACAGTCGCAAATGTATGTATGTATGTACATACATTCATAACTATCTATCGGCAGACCCCTAATGGTAGCCCGGAGTCGCATAAGAACATTGCGTTATTTTACTTCATTTCCATTGCCTTTGACCGCTTAGGTTTGGCCCACTCCATATTTGATCTCTTGGATGCACGGCTTCAGACAGGTCGCTGTCTCTGTTCGCAAAGGGCGTGCACTACTTGGACGTCCTGGCCTATCAGTGCCAGGGGGGCCGTGTGGGAAGGGCGAGAACACCACGGAGGTCAATGGGAGAAGCTTGAGGTCAGACGCGAGAGGGGGAGGAAGGATGAGGATGAGCAGAGTGAGGATGCTCATGATGAAGATGACGACAACTATGATGGCGATGCTGCTGCTTCTGCTGCTGTTGCTGCTGATGATGATGATGACGACGTTTAATGTGATTATGCAAATTGCGAGGATGAGGATTGAATCGGCTGTGAGGAGTCCTCGCACGGAGGACACGTCTTGAGAACGATCACGTCTCCGTCCGTGCAGGTGTCGGAAGCTCACGGTACGCTGCGGGCGCTCGTTGAGGAAGGTGCCCAGGAGGCTGCAGACCCCGGAGAGGCTCCTTATCCTGGTGAGGGCGGCGGTGATCTCCGTGGCCAGTCCAAAATTGGAATTTCACCGGCTTCCAGACTCCTGGATTCCTTATCCGATGCTTCCTGAGCCAGTGCCCCCACTGTATTTCAGGAGTGGAAAGAAACACAGACACAATTAATCGTCGCCTCCAAGGAAAATATGGGAAGATGTGGGAAGTGTGGGGGGAAGATAAACCCATAAAATATCGGAAAATACGGGGAATCATGAGATTTGTGTGTATTTACTTGTGTGTCCCAGGGCCCCTTTAGTACTGTTGCCCTATAGGGTGCGATGGCGCCCGAAGCGAGAGCCACGCGCCGAAGACCGCCTGCCCCCTCTCCCCGTGCAGCTGGTTGGAGAGCACTCGGGGGGCAGGGGCAACGGCTGGCGAGGGGCCGCGCCTGTGCCGGGGGCATCCGGAGGCGTCGCCTCTTCCTCCTCCTCCTCCTCCTCCTCCTCCGTAGCCATTTTGGCTCCAGTTGGAAACCCTGCTCTGAGGCTTCCAGCTTGGACAGAGCCGACGGGGCGGCTCGAGCGATTTCAGAGACACGATCCTGTCAGCTCACGGGGGTTCAACAACGGCCCGCCTGCTGGCAGTTCTTTTCGGCCACACACCTCTCGTACATTTTGTCTCGAGGTGATGTCTAAGGATGCGGCTCCTTCGACGCCGCGGCGCGCTGTGCTCAAATCTGTTCAGAAGCCTGCTGGTGCTCGTGCCCGCCGTGCTGCTGCAGCTGGTGCTGGTACAGGTGCCCCACACACGCCTGGTGGGAGGAAGTGAGACGTTCCGCATGAACTAGGACTCTGACATGGACCTGTCTGAAGAACAGATCTGGACGGTATGTGCAGGCATCCTCTCCGACGAGCTGGACCGCATGCACAAACAGTTCCAGGATGTGGTTGGTTCGACGGTCGCTGAGACAGCGCAGCGTGAATCTCAGACGATTGCTGATTCCTTCAAGAAGAACTTCGATCAATGCCTCAAACAATGTTTTGAAGATCTCCAGAACTTCCCTGGCAAATTGGACAAGCAGATCACCACGGCGGTTGCTCCAAACATGGACTCCTTGCGGCGCGATGAGCGCACGGGGAGGGTTGCACAGCACGACACTTTGTTGGCGGAGATGGCGACACACATTAAGGAGTTGCAGACGGCCTTGGTGGCAGCGAACCAGCTGTCCTCGAGACGGGTCCAGGTCTCTCCCTACATTTGATCGCGAGACGGACGGCACCATCATTCGCATCAGTGCTGGACGACTGGTTGCTTTCAATCAGGTTCAGCAGAAGGTCAAGGAGTGGATCGATGAGTTATCTATTGTTTGAGATGTGCGAGGTCACGGCTTCCGATCCCCTCTCGAAGCAGTTCTTCGTGCGGTTCAAAGGAGCTACTGGGCTTGCGGCACGTCGTGCTGGTAAAGCGCTTGGCAGTCTTCGAGGTGCAGATGGTGTTTGGAAGGTTATTTAAGTCCCAGCGCACGCCCGTGGTGGTGAGGTGCCCTTGCACAGATCATGCGACAAGAACCCTCTGCAGATCAAGACGGAGACTCTCGGGCGCAAGGCGAAGCTGGCCATTCAGGAGGGTCTTTCGGGACACAAGTCTTCTTCGACAGAGATCGGGGATGGTTGTCAATTGGCTGGGACGCTTTGTGCAAGACGGATCCGAAGCAGGGTCGTGAGAAGGCAGATATCATGTGGATCCAAGCTGCGATTCGCAAGCTCCAGCTAGCGAAGCAGGAACTGGTCGAGAAGACCAGAGCGATCTTCGAGCCAGATGCGGGGCCCGAGTGGTGTCCTTGACAACTTCGTTAGCCTCTTGCCGCGCTCGCCGTTTCAGTTCCTGTGCGACAGGGGCATCAGCGGTGGCATAAGCTTTTGTATATGGAACACACGTGCGCTTCTTCAATATGAGGGTGGCAATCTGCTGAGAAGCTTGGATATCTTCTGAGGCTTCGCCTTGGCTCTTCCGTCTCGGCATTTCAAGAACCAGGCCAAGCTAGAGTGTTTTCTGCGACGGGTCCTTCCTGGTGCGATCGTTTTTTTGGAGTTCCTGTGGGGGCGACCGTGCGGGTCGCATCCGAGGTGGCGTTGCGACTGTCCTCCCAGGTATCCAGAGTCACAGGTGATTTAAAGTTTGCTTGCGAGGAAAAGCTGAGTTTCTCACGGCCGTCTCAGGCCCAAAGAAGCAACCGACCGCTGCAGGTGCAAGACACGATATGGTCGCGAACACTCGACTGTTTCATAGAAATGTCTCTTGCTGCGGCCGCCCATTCTGACAAGCAGGCGGATGCTGTTGCAGCGGTTGACCGTTTCTGGTGCTCATGGCCTGGCTGGATGGTTGCTCAAGAAAAAACGACGGCGCGGGTGATCGGCTACCCCGAGGCGCTCTCGAAGGCCAAGATGAATGGCCATGCTGCGGTGTGTATTTCATTCGCCCCCCGTAAGATCGCAGGACCTGAACGCCCGATCCCGAAATATATAGCCAGATCACCGATATTTAAGTTTGTTTTTGGATCCTATGTCGACCTTGTGAATTACATGATGAATATGTCTCCTCCCGTGGGCCGGAGCGATGCGAATATCTGATGCAGGAGGCTAGCTGAGTTGCTCGTGCCCTCTTGGCCTTCAGGCGCCCAGGGGGCCCCCGCACGCTGCTCTTGATCGCTCGTTCCCTGGCGCGTGCTGCGCGGCGCCAGGATTGCCGGCGCGCCGAGCTCTTGATTGCATCGCATGAAATGGCGGCAGATTTCATTCGGGTGAGTGGTCACCGAGAGCTTCTTTTGCACCCAGCTTCGTTCCAGCATTGGTCCAATGAAGTGCAATTTCGAGCTGCTGGCCTCGATCGGGCTGCTGTTCAGGCTAGGCTAGAACAGGCCCAGGATACTGGCTCTCGCACTCGATGTCGTCAGCAGCTTCAAGCTGTCTATCGCTGGGCTAGGTTATGAGTTCCGTTTATGCGTCGATTGACTTTGAGGGCAGCGGCGGCGATGGCGAAGGGGAGGTCTCGGAATCGGATCGTGCTCGAGCTTTGACCTCGCAATGGGTTCCTTTTTTCGCCTGCAAGCCCCGGCCCGCGGCTACGGCTGCTGCATGCGTCGACCGCTTCTCGTCCCCAGTCTCGTTCGACGACGCCCCGCCCCCGACCGTGGCCATGCTGAAACAAGTTGCTCTTCGCGTCGGTGATTTTGCGCCTGGGTGTGATCGGCTCTGCTACTCGGCCTGGCTGGCACATCCATGTGGGCTGCTGCTTTTGCATGATGTTCTACTCTGGATGCTCGCTGGTAACAGCTGATTTCTTTCCGGGCACGTTGCCTTGAAAGCGTTCTGACCCAAGGGTGACTTGTCCACGGACCCTGCTGATGGCGAGTGTGATCGTGAAGCCGCTGCTGTTCGTGTCCTGGGCGTTCGGAATACCGGTATTAAACCTCTGCTGGCGGTTGCCAATGTTTCGACTCGGAGGCCTTCGGGCCGGTTTGTTCCTGGTGACCAGCGAGAATTCATGGGGGGTAGAATTTCCAGTATGAATATTGCGGAGGTGGGCGCGCTTGCACGAACGCGCTCGGCCAGGCCTGAAGCGGATGATGCATGCCCGATTATAGATGCATTCGGCTATGGGCACGCGTTCCCTTAGCTCTCGCAGGAGTTTCTTTGTGCCCGTCTTGAGGAAGATGGGCTGCCCTACAGCGCCCCTGGGATTTGTAAGTATTGTGTGCGGCTCGGTCGAGGGGGTGATTTCTGTCCAGGGGCCATGGGCCCATGCGTTCTGGCTCCGTTCTTGCATTATCCAAAGGGATGCGCTGTCTGGCTCGTTTTTTGCTGCTGCTCTGTCTCCTGCTCTTCAGTGCTTTCAAGTTAAGAAGCTGGGTATGAGTCGAGTACGTGCGGATAATCTGGGTGAAATTCACAGAAGGCGTTGTGCTCAGAATGACTCTGCTCTTCGTACAAACGATCTACGGCTCTTTACATTGCCTACTGGGGGGATTCCTCCTGGGCATTGGTGCTCAAAACCGTATGCTGAACTTTTGGCTGGCGCAGCCCGTGGTGCCCATCCTGAGAGAAAACGCCTGATCCACTCTCGTCTTAGCTTGCCTCTGTTGCTGCTCGTGCCTGCCGCCTTTCTCCTGTGCCGCTCTTGCCTTCCAAGCCACAGCGTAGTGCGAATATTGCGCGTGCCTCGTGCTTTCCCGGTCTCTGGTTGGATTGTTCCGTCGGAGGCTTCAGAAGCTTTTTCCTGACCGCTCCTCGGAGATTCAGGGGTGTGACTTTCAGGATGCCATCCAGACTTGGAACAGGACCACGCCGTCGAGGGCTTGGTCGTGGCTCCGCACGGTGGCTGATGGCTGGCTGACGAGTCACAGGATAATTCACCCGCGTGGGAAGCTTGGTTGCATTCTAGGATGCGAAAATGAACATGGCAATATGAAGCAGTATTTGTCTTGCCCCAAGTTAGCTTGGTCCGTCTCTCTCGTCCTCCGATGTCGTCCTTTCTCCTCTGATCCTCTGGGCCGTCTCGGGGTCCCTGGACAATTCGCTGTCTCGGTTGTCGCAGAAATTTTCTGGCTTCTCACATTTATCATTCTCTCCGTCACCTCCTGCCCCAGGCCCTCCTCATCCCCCAAACAAATCTGGAGGCTGCACGGGCAGCGTTTCGGGACATGCGCCTGGTCAAGGCCACGTTGGT